AAATTATGGAAATTCTAACCATGATGAAGTTACGCTAAAGTATGACCATTCTTCCAGGTTCGACGAGCATCCCTGGAGGCAAACGAGGGTCCTTAAACACATTAAGCCCTATCGCATGGCACTTTGATATAATTAAGTTACAAGGAAGAAATTCAAGGGCAAACAAACCTCTCGCAGCCACCCTTAAAATTAAGAATGTATCAAAAGGCTACCCTATCGTGCCGGCCAACGAACAAGTATCCATCTCAAATGCTAAGCTAAGTAGTACGTCGGCCATCTTAACTAGACCATAGCCAGAAAGAAATGAGAAAAGTTTAAAAACAATTGCATAAATCTAAAAATCTCTGAACAATTGCAAATACGCCGACAATATTTAGGGTTTATATATGAAGTGTAGTGTCGAAAACCTACTGATAAACGAAACATAATATTTATGATCATCTCTGATGAATCTACCCCGAGTTTGATTTCATAAAACATAAGCTAGAGAATTTGATAACTCTCAGGTGTATATAAGAAACAGAATCGGGTCGCGAGTAATCTCTTGATTAACAATCGTCACGCTCACCACCACTTTCAAGCAAATGGAAATTAGCTCGATAGTTTGATAGTCTTTTCGTATGCTTCGCTCTCTACAAAATTATTATCCGTAGTAAATGACTTTCATCTGAAACAATGGTCATTTGATTTTTGGTGGTATTTAAAATAAAGAGGATATTATAAAAAGTGGTTCATAAAGAAAAGAGCCTCTGATAGTACTCGTCACATTTCCGTAATTAAGATATGCTTAAGTAGGGATTCTAAGAAAGCCCTTGGCTTAAATTCATTTACTATTTTTAAAAATAAGGTAAACCAGGATTAAATAACCTGATTGCACAAGCGTATCCAATCTTCTTGCGTGAGTGAAGACTCAGGTAATTCATTTGACGTTAAAAGTAGATGAATCTCCTCCAAGATAATTGGATTCTAAAGAAATTTTCATAAAATGGAAGATATTCAATGAGTAAAAAAGTGCTCAAACTACGAATGATCCTATAAAAAAAAGACAGATTAAGAAAGGGTATAGATTACAAAATTAAATTATACTTTTGGGCATTAAGAACGGGTAAATGAAGTCAGAAATAGCATGATTATTTATTCTGTATGACTAGATGTTAACAACAAGAGCAATAAAAATTCAATCAATAAGAAATTGTACTAGCGCATAGAATAGTGCATTTTACTTTTCTAGCTGTAATGTATGAAACCTTGAAAAACGCACCAATACTATGCGTTAGTAAGCTATTCATTATATGAAAGATATGAATACCAAGATGCTGTAGCCCTCGGTATGGTCGCAGCCTCCCTTAATATAAAGAAGTGAGTTGACCTTCTCTTCGCATTTTGGTCTCGTTGTCAGGGTGATTTAGTTACACACCTTGTCCGAACTCTCCTGCCATAGTAGTTATCGTAATTCACAGCGCCAGACCGTGAACTTGGTACATTCTCACATGTTTCGCTGGTATCATAGTCGGTTTCATCAGTGAATCTTACCAGTCTCAACATCAAGCTACAACTTGTCAAAGAGACAAGTGTAGTCAATACCTTGACAAACTCTCTACCGAAACGGTTGTACTATCAGTCCTCTTTCTGTCCTGACACATTTATCTACTCCCTTACCCTTATATTTCACTATTGTCTCTTTGACGAGTTCTAGCTTGGTGTTGAGAGTGACAAGACTCACCGATGATGCTGGTGAAACGTCTGGGAATGTACCATATCCACGGTTCGCTTCTGGGAATTATGATACCTACTATAGCAGAAGACTTCTGACAAGGTGCTTACATCTAAGTTGCCTTGACAATACGGTCAAGTTGCAAAAGAGAATTCACATCACTTATATGAGCCCTTAGACTTCATATAAACTTCTATGATAACTACTATGGCAAAGGACTTCGGACAAGAATCGTCTAATTAAGTCGCCCTGACAATAAGACCAAGTTGCGTAAAATAGGTCATTCTACTTCTACTGATTATATACTTCGCAAAGTGCACTGGAGATTGAAGGATATTTATTTATATTTATTAGTATATTTTAGTTAATTGAAAATCCCAAGTGAAAAAGCTACGTTAAGTTGTCTATATGGCCATTCTATTTGTATTTAGAGTAGAAAATCGTAGGAAGGAATTCGTAATTCGATTGCCTGGAGTTAACCATAATCGTATATCGACCTACCTTTTGCGGTTAGAATGTACTTGCTCATTATCAAAATCCGACGTATCCGAGTTGGCTTTCTCTAGGCATTCAAAACTTTTAAATGAAGCCATACTTAAAAAAAGGTATGAAGACCAGGATCTTGTGGCCTTTTGTGAGATCGCAGTCTCCTTTCGTTGAATAGATTCTGTTTGACCTTGTTTTCGCAACTTGGTCACATCGGCAGGAAGACTTAGAGGAACGCACCTAGTCCGGAGTCCATTGTCTGCATGATCATTTCCAAAGTCGGACCGTAGATGTGGTACATTCCCAGACGTTTCGCTGGTATCGTAGTCGGCCTCGTCAGTGAGTATCGCTATTCCTAGCACCACAAAACAACTCGTCAAAGAGACAAGGGAAGCCGATCCTTTACCAAACGTGGGCTAATCAGTTGTGGTATCCATAAAGGAGTACATCGCACTTCATCTAAATAAGCACGTTAACAAAATTGTAACAGTGAAGGTGGGATAGAAGGATATAGGAAATGTGAATAGCTCAAGGCAGACGGGGAGATAACACAACTGTTTGGCACACGTTTAGTAAAGGATTGGCTTCACTTGTTTTTAAGAGTGGCGAGACTCACTTCCGATTCCGGCGATACGTCTGGGAATCTACCTCGCCCACGTTCCTACTGTGGAAATGATCATGCAGACAATTAACTCCAAACAAGGTGCTTTCCTCTAAGTCTTCCTACCAATATGACCATGTTGCGAAAACAAGGTCAAACAACCTCCATACTTAACAAGACCTGGTAAAAGCTCCTTTGGACACACTCTTATATGTTGCTTCTCGATATAAGGATGTCATATAAATGGGAAGGTACCAATTCGAGTCAACTTAATTGAAAGGTCTGGAAGCTTTCTTAAAATTCTTTACAAAACACATCAGTTAGTGGCAAGCACAAAAGAATCTTAGCTTGATTTTCAGGTTTGCCTGCCCTTGTACAGCTTCCATTAAGCTATTTTAATATTTATGTATAACTAATTTCATATCGTCTATATTCGTCCGGAAGCCCATTCTTATATGGTTGTAATTGGTATTCATAACCTTTATCAGTTACTATTTCGTATGGTATCCTATGAAGGATATATTATTGTTCAGAAAATGTGCTATGCAAAGACTCATACGTCGATCTTACCGGGAGATAATGATGACGACAAAATTTCACTAGCTTATCATCAAAACCGAAAAATGGTTTCCCGAAGGCTTCTTCGGCATGTGGGTTTTAATAAAATCTAACAGTGCTAGACCAAAAAGAATCCGTCGTTGCCTACTTGTGAAATGACCCAGTACTCTCACCTCAAATACTTTCGTATGAAATAAAATCAAGTTCAACACAATTTTATTTCACTTAATTTAAATCAAGTTCTTTACCTCCATAAATACACTATTTTTATTAGCTTCTTAGTCTATTATTTTATAATGAAAATATTTTTACTCGATCAATGTCACCTTATTTATAAGCTTCAAACATAAAGATTTGCTTACTTTAATCTTCTCAAGATTGACAAGGATGAGTGAGTTTTCCTTTCTAGCAGCCCGAGACAAAATATTTGCTATAAACCTATGCCATTCAGCCAAACTCAAATTGGCCTCTCCAGGAACATGAAAAACCGCGAAGCCAATCATCAGGCCGGCCAATGATGCGATGCTTCGACGTCCACTACCACTTAAACCTGTGAAGTTTTCGTATGAACAAATGATAAGTATGTAGGTAAGAAAACTGGCCTATATGTTTACATGGTGGAAGCTTAGATGAGCAGCCCTTAAAGGCAAATACATTTAATAAGTGGTATTCAAATATATTATTAAAATACTCACATTCAAATGATATGCATCAGTCATGAGAAGACGAAATAACAAAAAAATGAATATGGTAAATGTTTTGAGGGGTAAGGCTAGGAGTTAATATTAAAAAATTTGGCCATATAAAGTTTTTTCGTGATACAGATAATAAGGACAAAATGAGACTGTTTATTTGTATGGACAAACGTTATAAAATTGGAATATCATGTACTTAGGATGAATAAAAACTTTAGAACCAATATGAAAAATCGTAATGAATCAGACCTTGGTCCAGAAGATTATATCAAGTGGTCGAATCTGGGGATTTTCTACCAATCTAACTATTATCAGGCCAACGAAATGACTTACCTAGCATCAGGCAGTGTCCATTCGGCTGCCTTAGAGCTCGAGCCAGTCGTGTCACATGTTGTAAAACAAATGAGCAGAGGTGCATTGAGATTGGATGATCAGCGGTGGAATTATACTCTTCCAAATGTCGACGAGCCGACTAAAGAGCATAGAGAAAATCAAGCTTTGGTGAGGCCTATACCAACTATAAGTAAATGCAATTGTGTGTAACGAGCAGATTTCTACTGGAGCTTCAGTATTGATGCCAACAAGTAAAAAAATGCAAGCTAGAATCCATCATGGTCCGAGACACATAAGCTTTGATGAAGTCGTCGATCGTGCGCCTATTTGCCTCTTTAATACAACAAGTGCTCAATGATACTATTAAAGTTAAAGTGTTAGTACTAATTTTTTGTGAGCACAGTATGAATATAGTAAATAAAACCATATGATTATGAAATAATTGATAAGCTATGAATATATGCTCACTGTACGCAATCCCGCAGAAGATGCCGTAATAAACAGCCACTTAAAATAAGCCTCATGCATGGCAAGATATAGTACTCATAGGAATGGACTAATAATAAGGCAATAAATAAGTTTTTACTAAAAACGCATTAATCTCCTTAACGGAATGAGAACAGTAACCGCTCACTTCTTGATTGAACACTGCGACAATTCGGTTATATATGACGCTAATATAATAATAATAATGCGCCAAAAAGTATTCCGATAAAAAGTTACTGATAAGAGGATTGACTTGGCCCATTCACACACGTTTTTCCATCATCGAATTTGGTATCATCAGTGAACTGCTTTCCCCCTAGCACTGAGCTACAAATCGTTAATGAAACAAACAAGGTCTCTCTCTGTTAGGACAATAGACTCAACAAAATAACTCTGACACCAAAAACAATTTATATAGAGGAGTAGGGATCTACCCAAGTAAAATTGTCTTTAGTAACTTAGGGAAACCCACTAATTTGCATAAGAAAATATGAGTAATATCGTTTCCTTTTGTTCTATAAACGAGCAAAGATTTACAGCACACTATTTCACATAAAGCAAAAATATTACAAATAGTTTCACATTATGTAGATAAAAGAATATAATATTTGTAGAGAAACAATAAAATATATAAACTTTTGATTAAAACCGAAACTAGAAGTAATAAGTCTATTGTAAATCTCAACAAATTGGTGAAAAAAACATCCGCAATTGTCGATCTTTGAATGGCCTTAACAGTGCCCATTCAGCACTTACTTGATCTTGGATAAAATCAGCACAAAAATCACTGTATCAGAAGGAAATGCACACGATGTAAAAATATAAAAGAAAACTGATTAAAATAGTTGTAAAAACGAGGTGGCAGGGAACAAAAGAAACTTGCTTGCAGAATAAAATCCATATGGTTAGTTAACTCCATGTACGCCATTTTATTCAAATTTTCCGATTCTCCAGATCCAGTGTCCTTCTTGACTTCCTCTATAGCTGATGTCTTTATCGAATCCCTTCCAGGTATCCTGGCGAAATCCGTATTCCCACTTACAAGGCCAGCTAAAGCCCTCTCTCCCTCTGAGAGTCTCATTCGCTGCAATTCCCTTGGATGAAGACAATCGGCGAAGATAAGCCACTGGCTGAACGGACCTGTTGATTGATGTCCACGAAACAAAACTGATTCATCTTCCTCCTCACAGGCCTGCTCACCTCCAAATGATAGAATACTGTCTTTGACTGAGTCAAGGAGCTTTGAAACACGCACCTTAAAAGCACGCTCAGTGACTGACTAATTGAGACAAAATGGAAGGAAATAAAGGATGAATAAATGTAAGAAATGTCAAGAGAGAACATCTTATAAAATGAATTAATGCCAAACAAATAGGAAGAGAAAAGAGTTTGTGAGGAAAAACGAAGAAGAGGAAGTGCATAACTCACGAGGGATGATAAAGTATGAAAAATGGGAGGAAGAAAGGCAATCAGAAGAGATTAAAACCTTTAAACAATTGTATAGAGAGAGCAACAGTTTTGGTCTGTACTATTTAGAATATTTGAGCAGGTATTAATTTGTTTAACTAAATAGCTGGTTATATTATTAATAATCCAACCTAACTTTAGAATAATTGGCCTCTTCTAAGTCCTATTCGTGTCAAAAAAGATATTGTTATTTTATAGCACAGTAGTAGGATAAAGACCGAACCAATCACAGTTATTAGGCCCATAATAATTCAGATATTTTACAACAAATGTGTAGATTTAGAAAAAAACATTAGAGCTTGGGTAAGAAGTGTATTAACCATATGTCGCACAGGGTGATGAAAGACG